AAGCAAAGTGAAGGACAGGGTCTGGTTTAAACCAGGCTAGTCCTCAACTAGAAGGACATGAGTCATCTTAGCAGTTAGCATTAGCTTCCACAAATTTGTTCCCTCTTTAGTAGCTTAGCGTTAGCAGAGCTCACGTTCTTGTTTAGCAGATTAGTGGTTAGTGGAGCTAACTTTCTGATTCTCTGTGCCCACCACTGCTCGTGTTGTTCTGGTGAAAGCTGACCTGTGTGCGGTGGTTTGTCATTAAACCGTGTTTTCTTGTAGGTGGGAGGAAACCTGCACTGCATCATGGCCTTTCAGAGGGTCAACTGGCAGAAGCTCGGCCCCTGGGCGCTAAATTTAGAGAACCTGCGGCACGACTTCCACCACGCCGGCACGGAGCGAGCCCACGGTAGCGCGGCCGAGGACTCGGAGGAGAAAACGCCGTCCAAGCGTCTGGCCCACCTGGGTCGCTCCCAAAGTATGGGCAGCCAGAAGGACAGCAGCTGGAAGCGCCTGTCCAACACCACGGAGTACAGACAGAGGAGCTCCCCCGACAGCGACCTGGAGGAGGACGTGACGGACTGAAACGGTTGGTGCAGGCGAACAGGAGCAGGATGGAAAACAGATGACAGCAGGGCCGAGGAGGAGGATCTGAAGGTCCAAGTGTGGCGTTTTTATCAAGTTTATCAAGTACTGTTAATATATTTATTAGACTCTCAAACCAACACTTTGTTGGAAAACAAGTGTATGAATAAGTCCAAAGRAAAGGTCACAAATACCTGGTTTATTTCTTGTAAGGACTTAAAGGGATAGTTCAGCCACTTTCTGTGGAAAAGTTCTGAACGTCTAACATCTTACAGCTTTTTGAACAGCCTCAGTTTGGAGAAATGGCTCTGGTCTGACAGAACCCAGAAGCTTCTTAAAACAACACTCTTATAAACCTTTGCACCAGTTTATTTTTGCTTTACACTGTTATTTACAGGATGTGATCAGCTAGCACCAGCAGCAGCTTAGCTGTAGCACTTGTGTCACATCAGTAGGTCATTTTACAAGAACTTCATATTTCTGCTCATCGGTCCTGTCAGAATGAAGCTGTTTCCACAAACAGTTTAATAAGCTATGAACAACAGATACATTTGTTTTTCAAATTTGTGTTATTATAAAACTTTATTTAAAAAGGCACAGTGTACAGCTCAAACATCAACGTCACCATTTGATGCACTGTACCAGATTATAACATAAAATAATTTACATCTGCAGACCTTTAATGAACAAACCCACTTCAGAGTGGTTGAACCATACCTTTAATACCTTTAAATTCCCTCCCACTTAAGATATTTTTTAAGGAACTGGTGAATAAATTCAGCATTTCTCTGGGAGCATTTTCAGCAAAAAACAAAACAGAAACTTTTTATTTTTTGGTTTATGATATTTAAATAAAAACTAAGTAATTAATTCCTAACATCTT